TATAAAACTCAAAAAATTGATTTTACATGATATTGCCCCTTTAATAAACCAAAATACAGTTTCAAAACAAATTAATTCAGATACAAAACTTTAAATTCAGTTTCAAATCATTCATTTCAGTTTCAATTTAGTAAAATTCATTTTCAAACCAGTGCATTAAATTTCAAATTATGCACATTCAGCTTCAATCTGAGCAATTCAAATTCGATTCCTGCTGGCACAAGATTTATGAAACACACTGGGGTCCGAATTTGTTTCCAGGTCAATCTGGGTGTTGGGTATTGAAGTTTTTATTGGTCTCCTCCTTCTCATATAATTCCCTTCTCTGCATAGTAGCATTACATCAGTGTTAGGTTCTCTGTCCTTGTCCATGCATGTCTTGTTCCAGAGAAAGATCAGCTAAGATACTACCCAAAACCTTCAAGCAACCACYCCTCTGGTAGAGGACCGGAGTTTTCAGTAAGTGAAGTAGAATCGCTCAAGTGGAAGAATAGGGCAAGCTCAAAGTTGTTATATGTATCTTGATAACTGCAGTTTTTTATTCTCTAAGTTAAATAGTTTTCTGCAGTTCAATTTATTCATGGTGTCCTCCAAGGATCAATTCTGGTTCCTTTGATTTTGGGACAGGAAAAGTAAAKTAAAAGAACAAAACCAAGTAAGACAAACTAAAAAGTCCTTGGTTCTTCAGCTCTTGCTGCAATCGTTCCTCAGAGTTTATTTCTTAGAGTTGTGACACATTTTATTGTCTCCATCATTGTATTCGTCTTTCTGTCCATTTAGATTTCCTGGACATCTGGGATGTGGACATGATGAAGATGCCCGATGGGACCAATAAAACTGATCACCACACCACGCTGTACAACTCAGACTATCTCATTGTTCGACGAGGACAAGAGTTCCAAGTCAAGATCACCTTCGATCGTGCCTACAAACCCAGCGAGGACAAGTTTGCTCTGGAGTTTGTTATTGGTACGACTTTGATCCAGGCGTCTCAGTGATCTCAGAATCTCTCATGGTTAAACTGCTCAGAAAATTCTGACGTTAAAGTAGAAACTTTGACCAGCTCATTTACGTACTTCATTTTGCCCACATTTCCTGTTCAGGTTCCAYCCCAGAGTACAGTAAGGGCACCTACGTTCCTGTCTTTCCTACCAGAGACCGTCAGAGCACCTGGGGAGGCCGCATCACAGAAAACAATGGCAGCATAATCACCATGGGTATTACTCCTGATGCAAACTGCATCGTGGGAAAATATCAAATGTATGTGGCCGTGCAGACGCCATTTGGCATCCGCAGGACCAAGCGGGACAACAGTCGAGATCTTTACATCCTCTTTAATCCTTGGTTGGCAGGTTCGTGTACAGTTCAGAAGAGTTTAAGCTTTAAATGTTTTTAAATGCTGAGTCAGTATTTCCCCTCTTAGATGATGCTGTGTTTCTGGAGGATGACAAAGAGAGGGAGGAGTGTGTGATGAATGAGATCGGGATCATCTATCATGGAGCCTACGACGACATCGCTGAGAGAAACTGGAACTATGGACAGGTAGGAAATAAAAAATATGGAGATTGCTCCAGATTTACATAAGTCTGGACTGTTGGTTTATTCCTTCTCCTTTGTCCAGTTTAACTATGGAGTGCTGGATGCCTGTCTGTACATCATGGACAGAGCTGGGATGCCCATCACCAACAGAGGAGACCCCGTCAAGATTACCAGAATAGCCTCTGCCATGGTGAGGAAAAAAAACACTCATCTTCTATGTCCTTTAAAAAATCCATTATGATGATTACTGCTACCCAAATCACCCAAACCTTTGTTGCTTTCTCTCCAGCTGAACTCTCATGATGATGAAGGTGTGTTGGTGGGGAACTGGACTGGTGACTACACCTACGGCGTGGCGCCCACTTCCTGGACCGGCAGCACTGACATCCTGCTCACCTACGCCAGCAGCAAGATGCCGGTCTGCTACGCTCAGTGCTGGGTCTACGCTGCTGTCTTCAACACCTGTGAGAGCTGAATGCTGTCTAATCCATATCCATTTAAAGTTGTTTTTTTTACTCCAGGAAACATCATAGTCCAAAAAACATGATGAGATTAAAGACGTAGCCGAAAGACGAGGCTCTTATGTTGAAAACAGCATAGTTATTTTGATCACACTAGTGTCCTTTCATGCAATATCACAGTCTCACAAATGTTTTTCATTACAACATTATTTGTAGTCAGTTTCTAAAATTAAATAAAAAGACAATGAGATATCCCTTAATAATATGTGAAATATCTGTGTTTCAGTCCTGCGCTGTCTGGGTATTCCAGCTCGAGTTGTCACCAACTACTTCTCTGCCCATGACAACAACGGGAACCTAAAGACCGACATCATCCTGGACGACAACGGCAGAATTGATCGAAACCGCACCAAGGACTCTATCTGGTACTAAACTCTTCATTCAGAACGTCATTCAACTGTTTAACCTGGTTCAACACAGTGACCAATAGGAGAACAATAAAACAAGTATTCAATAAAAATAGAAGAAGCTTAGTTCACAAAAGCAAATTTGTAATAAGATTTGGGATGAGGGAATTTTCAGTCAGATTTTTAGACACTTGAGTACCATGTAAGAATCTATTATGTATTTATTGAATGTGTGTTTCTGTAAGCTGGTTTGTTTTGATTTATTTTAGTATTAGTGTTTCTGCTCATTAACAGAGATTACAAAAACTAATATTCTGCTATAAAAGATGTTATACCAAAAACATGAACCATTTGTAATTTGAATATTTTGTTTGTTGTCGTCATTTTAATCGACATGTTTTAGAATCATGTTTTAAAACTGTGGTTGCATTGTGTGGTGTCACTGTTTATGTACAAGAAACCCAAGGAGCAAGCAAAAAAACTTCAAGACTCAAAGATAAAAATAGAGATAATTTTACCAACAAAATGAGCAACAAAATTTGCATGTAAAACACAATACTATAGAATGTACTGCAGTAAACTAGTTTAAGTAATTTACTTCAAAGGAATTGGAGGAAAAGGCTGAACTGAAAGTAAATACCCACATGTGTCGAGCATGACAATGATGCTAACACTGCGAGCTAACCACTTAAAGCAAACGAGTAACACAGACTGCTGTGTGGATATTCACTGTGGCAATCGCTGCGCTAACTAGCAGTGGGGTGTCTGAAACTGGGTTGTGATGCAAATTTTAGCTCTCAGCTCAAAGCAAAAAATGGGCCGAGACAGCTCGTATCTAAAAAAAAAACCTGTTGTATAAGAAAAATACAAGATAAATGTGTTTTGTTCCCACTGTTTTTTGATATGTTGAGCATTTGTTGTTGTCAGGAACTATCACTGCTGGAACGAGTGCTACATGTCAAGACCAGACCTCCCTCCAGGTTTTGGTGGTTGGCAGGTTGTTGATGCAACACCACAGGAGACCAGTGATGGTAACTAATATAAACTAATATAGTTTGCAATTCAACAAGAAATGTAAGAAGTCTGCTTAAAAAAATGATTGTCCTGTTATTCATCTTTAAAGGCCTGTACCGATGTGGGCCTGCATCTGTCCAGGCTATCAAACATGGACAGATCTGTTACCCATTTGATGCTGCCTTTGTGTTTGCTGAGGTATTTTTTGGAAACGTTCTAAAGAAAATTACCTCAAAGAGATTTTTTTCCATCATGTCATGTTTTGTGACAAGTAGCTGAATTTGCTGAGTTTTGATCTAATTCAGTGAGTTTTTTTTCCTTCCCCTCCTCGGCAGGTGAACAGCGACTGTGTGTTTTATTCTCGGAAGAATGATGGGACCCTGCAGACGGTCAAAGTGAACCGGACTCACGTGGGTCGCATGGTTCTGACCAAAGCTGTGGGAAACGAGACTCGTCGCGACATCACAGATCAATACAAGTTTTCTGAAGGTCAGCGACCACGTTGAACCATGTGCTAAACCAAGCAGAAGTGTTTTTCCTGCTGTAGCTTTTGATTTAACCAAACATCTGCCAAAGAAAACATTAGAAGAGCTTTTTTTTAAATCAGCTTAAGTGATAATACTCAAATACATGAATTTTTCCACACAATAACTCAAAACTCATGGATTACTATACAACTATAGTCTGTAAGTTAGGTTTATTTTAGCTAAAACAAAAGAAAAAAACAGGAGGTTGAAAATCAAATCAGATGGATGGATCAATATTGACCATTTTTGCTGTTTTTGAGCAGTAAAGTACTGTGTGTCTCTGAAGTCTGATTGCCAGAACAGGCAGTGTTTTTTAGTTTGAGGGTTTTTGTCACTTTGCTCTGGACATCAGTTCTATTTAGGTGTCGTTCTGACTTCACTTTACCCAAAGTGTGCACTTTAGGCTTGAACACTTTCTTGACTTTGGCAACAACCAGCCTGTTTGAAGCCAAACACAATTTTGCTACAAAGTGGATCCTGTTTGTCAATCCAACCCAGGGACCCCAGAGGAGCGAACGGTCCTGGAGAAAGCAGAGGAGTATGGCTGCAAACAGGAGAAGTCCAACCCCCCTCTGGCTGACGTGGATGTGGTCCTGCCAACCCTGGAGGTCGGCATTGGTAATGATTTCGAGCTGAACCTCGAGTTCATCAATCAGAGCGAGCAGCGGCGCACAGTGGAGGCCTACGTCAGTGGGAGCGTGGTGTACTACAC